ACCAGCACAGCCAGACCCCGTGCTCTAGGACGTCCACCAGCACAGCCAGACCCTGTGCTCCAGGACGTCCACCAGCACAGCCAGACCCTGTGCTCTAGGATATTCACCAGCACAGCCAGACCCCGTGCTCCAGGACGTCCACCAGCACAGCCAGACCCCATGCTCCAGGACGTCCACCAGCACAGCCAGACCCCATGCTCCAGGACGTCCACCAGCACAGCCAGACCCCGTGCTCCAGGGATGGCTATGCTGATAGTTTTTAGTATCCCTCATGTGGCCAGAGGTGCAGGAACTGAGGTGACAGGGAGGTGAATGCTGAGGATGTAGAGAGAGGCCATCAGCTACTTCCACAAGGCACGGCTACCTCTGGGTCCTTTACCTGTGGACCCTTTGGGGTCAAGGTATGGCTCAGGCTTCCCGGATGGCCCTGAGCTTGGAAAGAGCCAGATGCTGCCAAAGACAAACACACTGCTGGGAGAGGGGTCGGGGGAGGAGAGGAGGACGGCGAGACCCAAGTCAGGTGAGTCAATGCCATTTGACTGGGTGGTGACAAAGCCACCACACTTACATGGGTGCCACATAGAAAGGTGCCTGTGAAGAGAATTTCAGCCACATCTGGCATTGCTTTGGCCTGGGGGTTAACAGTGAACGTGAGTCTCGGCCATTGAGAAACGCCACGAGTCATCTGAAGGGGATGCAGGTTAGGGATGGAGGGAACCAGCCTCTGAGTCGCACAGACACTGCTGAGCAGGAGAAAATCCCAGCAAGACGACATGTCTGCAGGAGAGAGCGACAGGGAACCCGCCCGATGTGTGAAGCCAGGTGTCACTGCAGCCTAACGGTGCCTCAGAACACACTCTTCTTTATTTTCTGTATCAGTCACTCAGCCCTTTGTTTCACAAGTAAATCTTCTAAGCATTAATTCCGCAGGTCTGTTTCTATTCCCAGCCTGTCTGGTCTGCACAGGTCTGCTGGTGGTGTAGTGGCCAAAACCCTGGTTCCTCACAGAGCCCAGAGGCG